ACAACACACTCTCTTCCCATTTCTCTCGGGCCCTCTCACGATTGACATGGATGAATTGTTTCTCTTTTCTCCAACATGGGAACATTATATGCAAAACTGTGCTGATCTCTCTACAACCCTGGAGACCATCTGTGATAAAACGTGCCTGTGTGTTCTCTTGTTGCTGTCCATTCGATACCCCACCCACGTGCGACGTGAGGTGGTGCGCTGCTTTTCCCGCCTGTCATGTATCACATATCACGTAGCACGCTGCCCTCACGGTCCATCCGTGTTGTTGCTGATGGCAAGTGCTCTGTCCTTGCTTCTGGCCGAGCAGCACCCCCTGGTGTGCGTGCACCACATCTTCCTCGCCCCGTCCTCTATCAAGACACCTGGGTGGTTTCCAGGCCTCGGTCGCCGTGAGCGTTGCTGCGGTGGACGTTGTGTTGCGTGTGCCTCTGTGAATAACCGTTTTCAGGTGTTTTGGGTGGATGCCCAGAAGATGGACTGCGGAGTCGCACAGTAAGTCAGTATTTCATTTTTTTGAAGCCCCTCTGTCCTGCTTCCCGTCGTGGCCGTACCCGTTTATATCCCCAACAGCAGGGAGCGAGAGCTTCCTTCCTCTCCAGCCTCTCCAGCACGTAAACTGCTTGTCTCGTTGGTGGCGGCCTCGTTGGTGGCGGCCTGATTTAACCGGGTTGAGGCGGTTTTGATCGGCATTTCCCCAGTAGCTGGTGAGGTGGAGTGTCGTGTCCTCTCTCTGTGGTCGGTCTGTGCGTCTTTGGGGAGAGTGTCTGGGCAGGTCCTCTGCCCACTCTCCTGTGGGGATTGCTGGTTTAGGGCTGAGTGGTGTGCGTGTTCTGTAGATTGTGACTGTGAACCAACCCTCTTCGGGGCTCGGGCTTGCCGCTGTCTCATTCCCACTGGATCAGTTGCCTTGTTGTTGTGTTGGCCACCTGTGAGGCCTTCGTGGCCGCGGACAGCAGGCGGTGGCCGGATGGAAGAGGTTCAGGGGGTCAGGTGTGTGATGACGAAAGAGGATTGGCTTTGGGTGGCAGACGCACAGTGGCACATTCAGATGTTGTGTCACAGCACAGCGAGACCTGTGTGACCTTATTAAATGTCACCCCAATACACTTAATGGGCACAATAGGTTTGACAGCTTCAGAAGCTGACAAAATGTGCCAGAATGAGAATTCACAGAGAATGTTGAAAGAAGGTAACATGCGTCAACTACTTTGCGGGGGGCCAAGTGTCAGTACACTTGGAACTTGGAACCTGTATAATTTCATTAACCGATGTCACCCCCAATGAATTCATTAAAAAATAAAAACTGTTTTGAATGTAATGATCTAACAAAACTATTCTTTCTCCTCGAAAAACAATAACAACAGTATTTTGAATTGAATCAAGATGAAAAGATAGCATATCAAAATGTATGGGACGGTGTTAAAGCTGTATTTAGGGACAGAATTATAGCACTGAAATGTCTGTCTTAGAAAGAAGACAGATTTCAAACCAGTGACTTTACAGTTGGCTCTTGAACAACACAGGGTTGAACTGGATGGATCTACTTATATGTAGATCTCCTCCCCCACCCCCAATCACTACATTGTAAAATTCTTTGGAGATTTGGAACAACCTGGGAAATTTGGCAGGAAGGTGAACCGTGTAGAAATGTTTTTTCCAAGTTAGGTATGTCACGAATGCACCACATACAGGTCCGTGCGGGTCCGTTTTATTGTTTGCCAGCACAGAACACGCGGATGAAGCGTGGCAGTTCACAGCGGCCCACGCTGACCCATGGTGCCCACGTGCCCGTGTGGATCCCCTCGTGGCCGCCTTTGGGTGATAACGGTCATTCCATGGGTGAGCCGTGTGTCTCTCGTGTCCGTTGTCTGTTGCAGTAAAATGTGATCTCTGTGGTTCTCCCGTGTTTTCCATCATGTTCAGTGCAAAACCGTAGCCTCGGATCACACCAAGGAACCCCCAGGAAGCGCCCTGGTACAGCTGGGCTGAGCGGAGGGAGATGGCACAGCGTGAGCTGCGTGGAGTGAGCTGTGGACGGAGCAGCAGCAGCGGTCGGAAAGTCAAGGGGAAGGAGAAGAGGACGGAGGGGAGACAGCTAGTAGCAGGCACCGGTGTGCACTTCTTGGGGACGTGGGGGGCCGTGTTCACGCGGCGCAGGATGTGTGGCGACGAGAGGGTGCGCACCGGTCGGCCCAAGGATGATTCCGGAGCGAAGCAGAGGCCGAGAGGACCAGGGAGGCCTCGGGAAGAGGAGGATCTGGAGCAGAAGACGCGGTGTCAGCAAGGACGATGGGCCGTTTTGGAAAGAGTTTTGCTTTTAACAAAGATGAAGCGTCAGAGCGATGGTGGCAGCCGGAGGGCCGAGTGGCAGCGGGCAAGTCTGGGGAACCAGAGGAGCGTGAGGCGGAGGAGGACAGCTGATGCGGGCTCCCCGCTCAGAGGAGGGAGAGGCAGAGAGACGTGAGCCACGGGTGGAAGGCATGAAGGCAAAGGCGGGTGCGAAGGCGGCTGACCACGGGCTGAGCGCCGAGGGCAGACAGACGGACAGAGAGCAGCTGGGGTTGGACAGAGAAGCCTGGACAGAGGGCCGGCCCCTGGATGGTGCCACCGAGGCGCTGCCTCTGGAGGGAGGGGCCGGCCGGAGGGACGCCTGTGCGGGGCGTGGGAACGTGGCGTGGGGTCAGCCCCCGACGGGAGGACGCTCGGGAGCTGGGCCAGGACGCAGGGAGAGCAACAGCTGGAGGCCGGAGGGCGAGGCCGGCAGAGGCCGTGGTCGGGGAGACGGGGCCCGTCCATCCCGCGGAGAGAACCGTCCGGTGCCGAGCACATCACTTCTCAGGACTTCAGGAGCCAATCACAGACATCATGAAGCAGAGGAGGGGGGCCGGGGGCGACAGCGGAGCGAGGGCCCCCCAGGCGGGCGCGGGAGGCGGACGCGGAGGAGGAGGAGCAGAGGGCGCAGTGGCCGGCCTGGCAGAGGGAGCCAATCGCAGACACAGACGCTGGCTTGTCCTGGAGCGTGGGCAGCGGAGCGGAGCGGGGGCACGGCCGGAGACGGAGGACGCGCACGGCGGAAGGACGGGCAGGAGGGACGGATGGTTTTCTTTCGGGAAGTTGGTGACACGGATGGATGCACGCCTGCCTCCGGCTTCCCTCCAGCCCTGCCGCCCTGGAGGCGAGAGGCCGAGAGGACAGCGGCCCGAGGACCGCCCTGGTCACAGCGGAGCGAGCGCAGCGGGTCAGGCTCCGGTGCGCGCACGGACGGCGCCGGCGAGGTGAGTGCACCCCCCTGGAGAGCGTGTCCGTCCGCGTCCATCCGTGTCTGTCCGCGTCCGCGTCCGTGTCCGTGTCCGTGCTGTGCCGTGACAGGAAGACCGGGCAGAGGCTCCGGGCCCCACGGGAAGGGCCAGGCCTGCTCCACGTGGCCGCTCCCGTCCCCTGGCTTACGCTGTGGGGAACGCGAACCCCCCCTCACGGCGCGCCCCCATCCCATCCCGCACCCCCATCCCATCCCGCACCCCGGTCTCACGCCCTCCGTCCCTCGCCCTCATCCCGGTGCCAGCGTGGCGCAGCGTGGGCCGCTGGGGGAGGGCACCGCGGGGCACCTCCGGGCTGCTCCGGCGGCGGCAGCGGCGCCCAGAGCGTCGCACAGCCCCATGGAAGGGTTTTTGCAAAACACGCCCTTCCCCACCGCCCACGGTGGGAACACGGGCTGGCGTGGCCCAGGACGCGCACAGGTGGGTCCCGGAAGGCCACGTCACCCGCAGCGCCCCCGGGCAGCCGCAGGCGTTTTGAGGGCATCTAACCCTAAAACACCAGCTTCCTTTACTCTGGGGGGAGGGTCCGGGCCCCTCGCCCTCCTGTTGTTCAAGGGCCAGCTGTGTTCTCACTGTGTCACTGACGGGAAGGAAAAGGACGGACGGCTTTAAGGAGAGCACCCGTGAGAGGGTCACTCTAGAATTGTGAGGAAATGGGCGCGTATAGAAGCGCTCCAGGCCACGGGTTCCCTTCGCGTGGATGTTCCCGCAGCGTGTGGCCCCCAGTCTGACCTTAGCGAGAGGACAGGCCGGTCACCCGTCAGGTCCTGTGCCGTCTGACTCCGTCGCCGCCATCGCCTCCAGTGACACCTCGTGCTGCGTGCGCGTCCCGGGACGAGGCCTGTAACCAGCGGGTGGACGCTTGGTCAATCCTCTCATCCTGCTCCCCCACCCCGCGCCCCTCCCACTGTCTCGCAACATCAGCGGCATCTGTGGTTTGTTTCTGTGCTGTTTTATGCTGGTTCTGCGTGTAAGTGAAATCGTACGGTGTTTGTCTCTCTCGGCTGACTTCACTGAGCGGATGACCCTCTCGGTCCATCCGTGCTGTCCCAAACGGCAGGATGTCATCCTCCTGTGGCTGCGTCACACTCCCTGGTAGATGCGTGCCAGGCAGGGTTTATGCTTTTGTCTTTGGTGGACGCTCAGTTTGCGTCTATAGCTTGGTTATTGTGAAGAATGCTGCCGTGAACATCGCAGTGTGTGTGTGTGTGTGTTTTAACAAACATTGGGAAGGGAGCCTGGCTGTGTGGCCCAGTGGTTGAATGGCAACTTGTGAACCAGGAGGTGACTGTCCAGTTGCTGGTGGAGGCTCGATCCCCAGTAGGGGGCGTGCAGGAGGCAGCCGATCCATGATTCTCTCTCATCATGGATGTTACTCTCTCCCTCTCCCTCCTCTCTGAAATCAGTAAAAACACATTTTTATTACAAAACAACAACCCGGCTCCCTCAGTGTTGGCAGGCGTGCTCTGTGCCCGCTCAGCCCTTCCCCAACGGGCCGGCCTGCTCTGGGTGCAGGCCTCCGTGCGGCGGGAGCTGGGCCTGTGGTCCTCGAGGGGAGAAGCCCGCCACCAGGGAGCACCCCGACAACCTGCAGAATGCTTACAAACACTGGGACCCGGAACGGAACCCTGTGGTCACAGTGCCCCAGGCCGCCGGCTCCCTGGCTGGGCAGAGATGCGAGAGGGCCAGGCCCCGCCGGGCAGCTCCTGGGGGAACCACCCGCCCGGCGAGCGCCCCAGCCCGGCGGGCGGCTCGGCCGGCCTGGGCTCCCGGCGCGGCCCGGCCGTCCAGCGGCACCACACCCAGCTGCTGCAGACGGAGAAGTCGTCCTCCGTCCTGTCCTTCCACTGGAAGGAGGAGCTCCTGCTGCGGAGGCAGCTGGGCCTCCTGGACGCCATGAAGAAGCGCCAGGCCAGCGCCCGGCTCACGGAGCAGAAAGCCTTCTACGGGCGCAGCCACGCACAGCTGCAGCGGGTCGAGCTGGCCCACGCCCGGCTGCGGGGCGACCGGGACCTGGTCCAGCGGCTCAGCTGCCCCACCCGGTGGTCCTCCTCCTCCGGCCCCTCGGAGGAGAGCGGGGCGGCCGTGCAGGCCATCCTGCAGGGCCGGCTGGGAAGCGCGGGCGCGGGGACGCGCCACTGCAGCCAGGAGGCCCCCCAACACCCCGTGCCCATCGGGGGAGGACAGCCGGGGGAACACGGGGCCCGGGCGGCATCCAGGGGCGTCACCAAGGCCGAGGACCCATGGTGGGTCCTCACCGTCGAAGCCCAGAGCTGCCCGGAGCCCGCGGCCCAGCCGAGCGAGCCCCCTGGGCAGCCTCCCCCCCAAGCCCACGAGGCCGGCCGGCAGCCGGAAGGCAAGCTGCTGCTGTACGTGATGCACGGGGTGCTGGACGCGGAGCCGCCCGAGAGGAAAAGGCCGAGGCCCGGAGAGTGTGCCGGCAGCCCCGGCCCGGCCAACGCCCGTCCCCACGGTCCCCACCGCGACAGTGCTCCCCGTGCTCCCCGTCACCGGCTCTGATGTCTGACCTCCTCACAATAAAAACCGTCCGATGAGAACCAGCCGCCTTGTCCCGCGGCCCTGCACCCCCAGGTGAGCCCAGGGCCTTACCTTTGCTCACGGTGTGCACGAAGCCGCTGACCCGACCGGCTGGTGCAGAGGCCCTGGCGAAGCCCTTCGCCGCTGGAGACTGGGAACTGGAGGGTGGACAAGACGACCTTCGGCCCTATATGTCCCCGGCGCAGTGCCTGTTGTGTGTCCCACAAGCAGGTGAGGCGAGAGGAACACCTTCAGGCCCTTGTTCCCGCTTCTCTCTGAAAACAGCACCAATCTTGTTATTTTTTTAAACTAGAAGCCAGATTCACGCACAGTGGGGTTCCCGGCCTCACCTGCAGGGATCAGGCTGACATGGGCTCTCTGACATCCCCCAAGGGGCCCCCAATTGCGAGAAGGCAGCTCTCCGGTGCTGCATCCTGCATATGGCTCCCTCCTCTCTGCTTCCCGGAACGGAATGTCAGCGAGAAATGCAGTGTCACGTCACTGCAGCTGCAGCTCTTGCGCGGAGCGTCTGCCCTCTGGTGGCCAGTGCGCGTCACAGCTACTTTTGTGTTTGTATAGATTGGGATGGCACTGGCTAAGGTGACAGGGTTTTAGCATGTCTGTCATGTGTTCACCACCCAACGTCTGTCGAGTCTTCTTCCCTCACCGCTTATCCCCTTCCCCTGCTCCTACTCAAGTCCTTTTGTGGTTAGCCAGATGGTCCGGAGGCAGGGAGATGGAGGAAGTGGTGCTTTTACATGTGAGTGCATGCCAGGGGGGCTCTCGTGAGATACTGTGGGCGTTTTCCCTGGGTGTTGTGCGTTTCCAGGTGTGTTTTAAGGACCTGCTTTAAAATCTGTACCCTCCGATAGGCTCCGTACTATCTGCTACATACTATTGGGGTGTTTTTCTTAATCCCGTCACCTCCCACCCCCCCACACACACACACACACACCTCGCCGTCTGACACACCTGTGTGAGTGGGTTCTGTTCTGCGTGAGCCTTGGCTGTCAGATTCCCCGTGGAAGTGGAGTCACAGATGCCTTTCTCCGGCTTACGTCACAGGGCTCAGGGCCGCTAGGCGTGGCCCCCGCCCACCGTGTGCCCTTTCCTCGTCCCATGAGCGTGTGGATGTGTGTGTCTGCTCAGGGCAGTGCTGGGGGCTGCTTCCAGTGAAGACCCACAATGCAAGCTGGGCCCGGGGCGCTCTGGGTTTAAGGTCCGTCTCGCCAGGAAGCATGCTACCCCCGCCTTCCTTCTGTTCCCAGGAGACCCCTGCCGTCCCCTTACACAGTCCCGTTTCCTACGGGAAGCGAGTCTCTTGCAGGCAGCACCCCTAAGGGCCTTGCTTCTGCGCCCGCCCCCCCCCCCCATGCCTTTGATTGGAGCATTAACGTTTGCATCTGAAGTAGGAGGTTTCTTTGACAGCCCATCCCTCGCCTGGCAGGCGGACCACGGAGGAGCGGCCGGGCCGGGACCTGGTGAGTACCTGGATGGCCGTGCGCCGTCTCATTCAGCTTTGGGGCCTTGTAGTGTCTCACACACTGGTGGGGCGGACACTCCTCTCCTCTCCTCTCACTGGGGACCCTGCCCGAGCCTGTCCCTGTGGACGGGCAGAGCCGCTCCCCTCCCGGGCTGGTGGAGGGCAGGGGCAGAGGCGCCTGTGGGGCTCACTCCCTGCTGTTGGCAGGGCGGGCCCCCACGGAGCAGGACCTGTTTTCCGGGGGCCCTGGCATGTGAGGGGTCTGGGGGCGGGGGCGGGAACACAGCCGGCTGCGGCCAGTGTGCTCTGGTTGACAGTGTCCGGTGGGTCTTTAGCTGGTTCACGTGCGGGGGACGGGTCAGGTGGGTCTTTGTCTGGCTGATGGCTTCTTAACGCACCGTCCCCGGGGCCCCGCGCTGCCTCAGAAGGTAAGGGGCCCTCACTTTCTGATGGCCCGTCCTCCCGGCACATGCAACCCACTGCTGCTCACTGTTCCTCGGGAGGCGGGCCTCTGGGGAGTCACGCTGCAGGGAACGTGTGTGCAGGCGTGCTTTCTAAGTGTTTGGGGTCTCCTATGTGAGAGCTGACGGTACCTCTGACAGGTGTGCGGTGGTGGTGCGTCGAGCTCTCTATGCATTTGGGACGCCCACCCTCGGAGGGGCGTCCTTCCCGGGCTTGTCTTGTTGACGGCTTCCTTTGCTGTGCAGGGACTCGGTTTGACACACGCCATGCTTTGCTTTGTGTACTTTGCATGGGATTTGTCAGGGAATCCTGCGAACAGGCCTGTTAGACTCCGCTGTGAGTCTGCCCTGCACATGTGTCGGAAGGGGGCCTGTTCAGTGCGGGCTGCTGTGCTCCTATAACCTGCAGACGGTTTGGTACCAGATGGCATGTCTCCCCCTTCTCCCCCTTCTCCCCGAGGCCAGGCAGCCGCGGTCCGGCTCCTGTCCACCGAGGCCTCGGGGCTTTGAATGGGTTGCTCAGTGGTTGGGGGAGATGCCGGGACTGAGCTTACCTGCCAGAACCAGGAGCTTCTCCGCAGACGAGCACTGTGGTCGGGCAGGGCCGGAGGAAGGTGTAAGAGGGCATGTGAGGTACGGGGAACGGGGGAAATAGGGACACCAGCCAGCTTCCTGGCAGCGGTGGGCAGCCTGGGGAGAGCAGCTACGGTGGTTTGTGTGGGAACAAGGGCACCGATACAGGAACGAGCTCCCGACTCCCTTCTGCTCCACCCTCGTGACACCAGGGCGCAGGGCTCCGCCCCCTCCTCCTCGGGAGACGCAGTGCCAGGCGCAGTGCCAGGCGCAGTGGCGGGCAGGGGCCGCGGCCCCCGGGGACTGCCCCCTTCCCAGCAGGGGGCGCAGCCATCTGGTCACTGACAACACTTCCTCGCAGAGCGTTTTTCAGGTCCTTTATTTCCACTGTTTGTTCAGTCTACTCTAGAGCCGACAACCTAGACGCAATCACAGCACAATCGTCATACAGATGTCGTCACAGCAAGCGCGAACCGAGCACAGGTTTCGTCACGGGTCCATCACAGCAGACGCCCAGCCCTCCTCACGGCGCACACGGGCGCGGCGGCGGCCGCACGGGTCCCCGGAGCCCAGCGCCCTCCGCGGGGCCCGTGGAGGGCCCGTCACCTCCTCACGGTAGGAAAGCATGTCCTTCTGCAGCAATGGTGGGGAATGTCACGGGTTATTCAGCGGATGGTACGGCGCGTCCTACATCCATCACTAAGAGTTAGGGTAGTTCTGAAAGACCCTTCCCGCCTGCGATGGGCGTGCTGGCTGTGCCTCGCCGCCGCTGCCAGCACAGCAGCCGGTCGGCCTGCCGTCGGGATTGGGACGATCCAGGCACACACCGGCGCAGCCCGCAGCTGCGGCAGAAGGACACGGCGTGTCTCCTCCGGTAAAAAGACCCCCTCTCTCTCATGCCGTGAAGGAAACGAACACCATCGACACAGACTAGGGGGATACTCACTGCTGAACGTCCAATAACTTAGCCTACTGGTACCTGCCACGTCGGGGAGCACTGACACTGACGTCTCGGGGACACGGGATGGGGACGGGGTTCCCCGCCTGCAGGCTGCTTGCCGAGGACGGGGGGGTAGGGGTGGGGCGCTGCGGCCGTGCTGTCCCTCGGGTGCAGCACCGGCCCCGGGCCCCGGGCCGAGCAGACAAGACGAAGCCAGCGCCGAGGGAGGACTTTGGATTGTCTACGGAGATGCAGGGAGGAACTCATCGCGGTTATGTAAGTGCACTTCACATGCTTCGCGTTCAGACAACAGACTCCTGACTTCCTTGCGACTGGCTGCACGCACTGCTTCTTTTGGCCGGATGCACTGCCCGGGACTCAGAACCACCCCCACGACAGCAAAAGCAGCCCTGCCTGCGCCTGCGCGGAGGTGCCTGGCTGGGGCGCTGGCTAAAGGAGAGCTCTGAGCTCCAGGACGTTCCGAGGTCTCCCTTCCGTCTTTATTGATTTCAAGGTTTTGCACAGAAAGCTCTTTGGGGACTAGAACAGCAGCGAATGCATCACACTGTTTTCAAGACTTCAAGTTTCAAAAGCAAATTGTTAAAAAAAAAAAAAAAAAAAAAGATGCAGTTCCTGATTGGAGGTGGATCAGGACGCAGAGGCGCACGTACTTACTTGAAGGTCGCATGGTCTGCGGGCGGCCCGTCCCTGGGGGAGCAGTTCGGTGGTACATGTTTTCTCAATACTCAAAAGGCTCAACCTCAAGCAGTAATAAACACAAGCTAAAGTGATTTAACAACCATTAAAATAAATATTCAGAAAAACCTCTCTGTACATACAGTGAAAGGGCAGGAACACTTTCACGCAGAAAAATAAGAAAGGATTTGTTCACCGGAGGAGCGGACACCTGCTGTCCCAGCCTCGGGCCGAGGGAGGAGCGCGGCAGGGGACTACGCTCACCGCTATCTGACAGCCGCCGGCACTACACCGTGACACCCACCGCGGGACTCACTGGCTCCCGCCATCTACAGCATGCCGAAGCCTTTGGCGTACGTGATGGCCTTCAGCAGCCGCTCTTTCAGCTTCTCTTTGCTGGAATATTCCGGGAGTAACAGGACGTTGAAGCAGGTGTGAGACGTGGGTAACCTGCAGAGAGAGAAGGGGGGTGGGGACGGACACACCGTAAACCGTGGGGAGCGCGCAGGGTCCCTCGGTCCTGCTCGCCGGGGTCCGCGCGCCGAGAGCAGACACCCCCGGGAGTCCTCCCTTTAGGGCGGAGGTCACATCCAAGGTTCCAAGCGCTCCTTAGCGCCGTCAGAATCAGCCCGCGGTGACAAGCGGCAGGCGGCGTGTCAGTGCAGCACGCTAACGGGAGGCTCTGCACAGACAGCACGCGGGAGGACGCTGCCCACCAGGCTCCTTCCTCACCGACCGCCACTCACAACTGAGATGACGGCCTGGTGCTGCCCCCCCAGCCCGCCACAGAAGGGGCTTTCGGGTAAAGCATGCTGAGCCCGAAGCTGGCTCAGGCCGGGGTGCACGGGCCCTGCAGAGGCTCCGAACCAGGCAGTGTTTGAAAATGTCCTCAGAACATTCTCTGACACGTGTGCGGTGGCGTGGAGACCGCTGCATGCCTCCACGTGCTCAGCAGCGTGGGAAGGTCACGCATGCGTGGGCTAGAATGCAGGCGTGTTGGAAACGAACATGAAGGAAACGAACATCACAGATGTGGCCAGTACCGTTCTGTGTCGGGGCCGTTCTTGGCGATGATCATCTTCAGCTTGCCAAGCCCGCCCACCGGCGCCCGGTCTGTGCCCGTGGTGAACTGCAGGAAGAGCCGCTTCTGCTCCTCGGTGAACGTGTGCACGATGTCCCAGAATTCCCTGTGGGGAGAAGGACGCCGCTGGCCGCTGGCGCTGAGAGCAGCATGGGTTTCCCTTCACGTGCGGAGAGAACCCAGGGCGCGTGTAAAAGCCGTGCTCACCGAGACGTCGTCAGACAGCGAGAGCGGGCACACCTACGTGACCGACACTCGCAAATTATCATGTGACCTGTGGTATTTTCAGAACGAAAGACAAAACTCAAATTCGAGGACCAGGACCCTGACGAGGGCATGCGCTGGAGGAGGGAGCCGGTCGGTCCGCCTCCCGGTGAGTCCGTGCCATTGAGCCTGTCGCCTCGCTCTGGGCGCGAAAGGAAGCTGAGGCAGGCTCTTGGGCTCCGTCCACACACGAAAGTCGCCAAAACGTGGCCTTTTGTTAGTGCGAGGCGTTTCTGACCGTCAGTGTGGGCGCTTCCCCCGCCTCAGCTCGGACCCGTGGCCTGGAGAACTGCCAGCAGTCGGACGGGAGCCCGGAGCCCGCAGGCACCTCCTCAGGACGCGGCAGCTGAGCCCAGACCCTGTCAGCCCCCCTGGAGGGCCTGGAGAGCAGGCGGCAGCCAGCAGCCGGCCAGCTGTTTCTTTGGTTCTTCCTAAGAACTTAGGATTACACAGACAAACAGGGGCTCCACTCGACGTGGTAGCACACCCATCACATCTCGGGCCGCGTGGCACAAGGACAGCGACGGACACAGCACCGCAGAGGCCCTCACAGGGGAGGCGGCTGAACCGTCCTTCCCCGCCCCTCAGCTCACTCACCACACCCCCGTGAGGGACACGGCGCAGACGGGAGCAGGGGCTTGTCACCACGGACCTGCCCGCCAGGTGACGGCCCCGACACGGAGCAGGTGGAGCGGGCACAGGCGCCCCCCAGGCCTCCACGAGGCTCTCTCCGTTCACAGCACAGTGTCAGGCAGGGCAGGAAGAGCTAGCGGGAGCTAGGCTGCCACTCCTGCCACAGGTGCCGCTGCAGCACTGCCACGCCCACCACACGCTGCTGCACGGAACGGCACCGAGGGTCCCAAGCCGGACGGCACGTGGGCACCGGCCCGGAGAAACGTGTGCGTGGGGCTTCACTGCCAAAGGGGGGCCACGGCGTCCCGGGACACCACGCAGAGGGGTGCGAGGGCTGTGGGGCACGAGCTGGCCGGGTCCGGGGGGAAAGAGGGCCAATGAGACCGAAGCAGGAAGCCTAGCACCGCGGTCGACAACTGGTAGCCCGCGAGATCCAGAAGGTCGGCGACCCCGGCCAGAGGGTTCCGCGCAGCGACAGTCCGATGGCACAGATACCCTCGATGTCACCCGGACACACAGAGCCGGCTGCTGGCTGCGGGCGGGGGGGGCAGCAGACCCAGGGACGGTCCCGGTGAGGTGCGGCGGGGACTGTGGGTCCCTTCAGCTGAACGGGTGTCTGACCGCCAGGCTGCGCGCCTGAGGACATCGCAATGACGGCAGCAGTTGCTAAGCCTGAGCGTTCTAAGGGGAACGATGGGGACTGCAGACTTCTTTTCAAGCGACTTACCTGATCAGAGACGAGTCCCGGGAATAGCCGCCGTCATATTCGGTGGTTTCTTCCAGCGCCTGGAAATCCAGGTTCTGCAGATTTTTAAGAAACTCATCTCAGCTTCCCCTCGGCGCGCCACGCCACGCCACGCCACGCCACACGCGGCGCCTCGCGGCCCCCGCGTGCTTACCCGGCTCCCGCATATGAGCAGCTCGATCTCCTCCGGGCGGAACAAGTACTTCAAGGGGGACTCGTTGGTCACCATGTGGAAACCTCTTCGAAAAGCCTTGAACTGTTTCTCTACTGATTTATTGAGAATGTAGTCAGAATAGAGACTGACAAACTCCTGCGGAAAACACCAACCACAAGAACTCCTTATACGCTGTACAAACCAAACACCACAAGCTACTGGGCTGCACAACTCTTAAAACTAGTTTCCATGTTCAGAAGTGCTTTCTAAATCAAGTCGTATGCATGCCGAGGAACACACCTTCCACGATTGCACAGCTGCGATGCGATATTAACCTGCAAACAGGCCACGTGTGGAAACTAACACGGACGCTTCCGTTCTGGCAGGAGGCCAGACTGAACGTAAAAGCTGGCGTCACCAGTCTTGAGGTTCCCTCGACCACGCAGGAGCCCCGTGGGTTCTGGCAAATACCTTTGTGGTCCACGTGGTGCGTGAACTACTGCACCACACCAAGCCCCAAAAGGGAAACGGCTAGGCTCTGGGGAGACGGAAAAGCAGCGCAGAAGCAGGCAGTACCTTCCTGTTCTCGTTGGTGACGGGGATCTTGTCCCCGTTCTCCTTCAGGTCGTACATCATGGGGTTCCCGAACAGGTCCGTCTGCGAGATCTGGAAGGTGATCATCATGTCGTCCTCCACGCTGCCCTCGTACGCCAGCAGGTCCTTCAGGCTCTGGAACAGCACCTGGCGACAGGAATGGAGGCCTGGTCCCCACAGAGCCGCACAACACACTGACCGTACGGTCACAGCACGGCGCCCTGGCCGGCATGCTCAGTGGGTAGAGCACCGGGTAGAGGGTTTGATTCTCTGTCGGACGGGTTGCGGGTCCGTTCTCCACCCTCTGTCAGGACAAGTGTGGGGGCAACCAGTCACTGTGTGTCTATCACATTGCTGTCTCTCTCCCCTGCCGACGCCCCGAAAAAAAACCAGTGGGGAAATAAAACGGCTCACAACGTGGGAACTACGGGCCCCGGTGACGCCCACTCTGCCCGGGAGCCCGGCTCCGGCCCCGGGGCTCACCGGCTGGGAGGACTGGGGAGAGGAAGCACACACCGCCTGTGCCACCTCGCCCCTTCCTCGTGGCCGCTGAGACGCCCGGAGAGAACGCCGGGCGGGAGGCATGCTCACCGGGTGCGAGTCGCCCAGGTCCCGGAAGGTGCCCTGCTTGCCCAGGAGCTTCCGGTAGACCACCATGGGGAAGTGCACGTCCAGGATGCAGTTGTTGTAGATGGCCAGGCCCAGCACGATGCCGATGAGCGTGAACTGGCCCTCCGTCTCGAAGGAGGACGGGTTGAACCAGAACAGCTTCGTGTTCTCGTCATAGGTGAACATGCCTGTGAGAAGGGATACAAAAATGCTCATCTCTGTTACGTTCGCACTTGAGAAACCAAAGCTCGCCTGTATGACGACACTGGATGTAATTTTAAAGAAGAAAAAATGAGATTCACGTTCTCTACTCCTCGAACACAAACGAAGTTAATTTGCACTCATACTTTATCCACCAAATGGCTGAAAAAGGGGAAAAAAGAAAAGAAAAAGGCTATCCTATGGTGAAAATGTTTTAGTTTTAAGACAGCTGTCATCCACCGGCCTGTGGAACTTGTCCCGGAAAGGCTGTGGTCTGGCCAGGCCTCCCGGGTTCCGTTCCTTTACCGGGAGATCTTCCCCGTTACACCACTGGCCCAGGCGCCTAAGGAAGAGCTGACGGGTGAGGAGGTGCCTCAGCCCCAGGAGCCCGCACAGTCGGGTCTGAGCCACGTGCTGCTGCCGAGCAGACTCGCCCAGGAAATGTCTCCGTCCAGAAGACACCCGGGCCCGGCGCCGAGCCTTACCAATGTCGGGGTTGAAGATCTCCTCCACAACCAGCTGGAAGAACTCTTTGGAGACCCCTCCCTCGTCAACTCCTTGCTCTCCTTCGAACTCCACGTACAGCTGCTTCTTCAGGTCGGCGGGGTTCTCCATGGCGATCATCTCGAGCTGCGAGGGGAAGGGAAGGAGCAGGTGACTGCGGCGCCGGGCACAGCAGCGGGCAAACGAGGAGACGCACACGCGGAGGGGGCTCGGGGTGCTTCAGATGGAGGAAGAGGCCCTGAAGGCAGACTCGGGGGAAATGAGACAGAGGAACCTGCGTCGGGTGATGAGAGGGTTCCGTTCTCCTGGCGGACGGACATGAGCAGACAGTGAGGTTTCCTGTTCCTTGTCCGCAAGACCCCTGGGCTGTCGCAGACACAGAACTCGCGACTACTCACACCGCACCATCTCAGCAAAAGCAATGGCAGACAGGCGTCTGACTCCAAAACTGCTCCCTAGATAGGTTCTAGAATTGAGTGGGGACATCTATGGAGCCGTAGTACGTGAGCTCCAGCCGCGGTGACCCCCTATGTGGCCCTCGGTGCTCGGCACACTCCTGGGCTAGAGCCCAGTCCGCGCCCACTCGTTCTTACAAGAGACGCGCGCTTGCTCGTACCCTCCTACCTCCTCACACGGTATCGAAGCCTACCAGTCTCCCCAGCGTTTCTTCATGAGGCGAATCATGAAGTCACACTAGACTCTTCTCTCCTCTGCTCTTAAAAACCCCCCAGATTCTAGTGGAAAATATTCGCACTGCAATGCATGTATCTGAAAGTAACAGCAAGCCTTACTTACTGAATTAAATGCCTTCTGCTGTTAAAGACAGAATCCTTAAGGGTTTTCATGTTACTGGCAATTATTCCAACTAGGACTTTAAGAACATTTCTGAGGTAGGCTACCCACGAGTCAGTAAACGTACAGCATTTTACAGACCCACTTATTCATGTCCGGACTGACCCGGAGACAGGAAATACGGGAAGTTTTCACCAGCGGAATTCAGTTGCTGCCCGATTTCAAAGACCACTCTTTACACGTCTACATTTGAACGCTCCTGATTCTAAAAGTAACATACGCTTACTGTAAAAAATAATGATGATGATAATTAGAATACAGGAGAGCGTAAGGGGAAAAAAAAAAGCCACTCCTGAGGTCTAAAAAGACCGCCGTTCTCGGTGAGAGGCAAGTACAGGAGCCGAGCGTGCCGTCTCGAAAGTGCGTGCCTGTGGGTGGCCTACCCTTAAAAATTCACTTTTAATAAACGCGGCGACAAATAACATGCCGTGAAATTTAGCAATAAGCATGGAGAGAAAGACTCTTATGTAAGAGACTACATTTTCTAACCATTTTCAACCCATTGTTCACATGGAGACTAATTAAAGAATTAAATTGTAAAGCTGTATCACTTTTAACAGAGACGCCAAAAGCTGCCTGGAATGCAGAACATTCGAAAACTGGAAAAAGTCTGCCAATGAACATTCTGAAAAGGACAATCTGCTTACACCGTGAGGTGGACTCGTTGAAGATGCAGATCTGGACCTTCCTCTCTAGGTCTGTTAAAGGTAGGCATGTTTTACACTAACTTGGCAGGGAGACTGGCAGGAGAGACACTGTGGAAACTAAAAGGAGGGGTTCGATGACAAGTCCAGTCCCATATGGGGGCGGGGAGTTCTTAAAACGACTCTCAGGTACCTATTTCTGAAAAGGCAGCTTATATTTTATTAGATTTCAGTGATCCTAAAAATTCACATTTTCACATCTCTGAAATCTGGACACACCATACAAGTGACAGCATCTTACAGAGAATTGGCATTTTTTCTTGTTTAGTAGCAATAAATAATGGTGTGTCTGCACTCAGTGGTATCTCACGTCTTATAAAATGCTGTAAAAACACAAATCCTTCTGCTGACATCGAAGGCAGTTCCTCTAAGAACTCCAGCCAGGGAACAATTTGCTAATCTAGTTTGAATTACATGATACATGGAAGCAGGGAATACGTATTCTTGTTCTAAAAAAATGTTACTAAAGGCCGGCCCCTGCATGAATTCACGGAGGGGCCTTCAGTAATGCTGGGGCTGGGCCGGTGTGGGGGGGAGGCCGTGGGCAGTTGGCTCACCTGCCTCACCCCCTGGTCAAATTCGCCCCCCACCCCAATCAGACAAGTTGCCCATTGGCCTAAGTTACTGCCCATTCCTTTCCCTCCAAGCGTGTCAATCTATAATTAATAGCTGGAAAGTTAAGACCCCACAGAAAACGTGTTCAAGGGTGTCATGTGTGTGGGCTGTTCTCTGGGCCTCGTTGGCCAGCAGTGAGCAGATGGACACCAAGGCCTGTTTAGCTTCTGACGCCTGGGCCCTATGTGTGGCCTTACTTGCTGACTCTCAGTTTGGAGCTCACTGCAAAGTGTTTTGTTTCCTCTTGTCTTCCTGAATCCGCTCCACAGTTCAAAATTAACAGACGGCACAATAGGTGTGTCTGTGACATAAGCTGCAGGAGAGGCTTTAAGAAAGCCAAGCGTACCCTTGGGGAGCAGATGGGTGAACTGTGGGGACGCTGACAGTCCACCCGAGAGGAGGGCCTTGTCCCGTTTGCTGACGCGCCCCGACTAGCACCCGTGTGAACCTCGGAAAGCCAGCCGGCCCTCAGGGAGGGAGAGGCAGGCAGTCAGAGGAGCCGGAGCAGCTCCCAGGGGACGGGGCAGGGGGCAGGGGGCGTCCGGGGCCGGGGCCGGTCACTCTCGGCAGAGCGCCTCCCCGGACTGCAGGAGGCCTGCTCCTGGGGCACCCTGACCGGCACGGCCCCTCACGCCTGCTTCAATGGAAGGCCGGATAAACCCAACCGGGCCTCTGCTCCCTCAAACTCCAAAAGCTCGTGTGGAAGCGGGAAGAAGTGCCCCTCTGCGGGGCCAGGCGGGGGCAGGAGAAGGGGACCCCTCTCTCCGGGGAGCCCGAGGGCCTTTGCAGGGGGAAGCGTGAGAATTCAGGAGACCTCGCTCGGGTCTGCACCGCACCCCACACCCCGCACCCGGGCCCGCGTGCACGTGACCCGCAGGCGGGCAGCACGGCCGGTGCTGTGTGTGACCCCTCCCAGCCGCGGCGGGACCCTCACACGGGCTCCTGGCCACTCCGCGCGGCCCCTGGTCCGCCCGTCTGTCCCCAGCTTCACTCCTCTTCCGAGCGGAGCCCTGTGGGTCGGTGACGGAGCTCCCCCGCAGAGAGGGGGCGCTCTAAGACAGCAGTGCTTGGTGGGACACACTGAGCTGGACAGAACAGGAGGGCGACACTGAAGGAGACTGGACGTGGGCAGTGAACACACACACACACACACAACCTGCCCGGGACGCGTCAGCGCCTTCACTAACGGGCGGCTCCCCGGGAAGGAGGCCGCGCCCGCGTCCCGGCCACCTACCACTCCTGTTCTCCAGGCCGGCAGCGCACTCACCCGGACCAGCGCGTCGTCGATGATGTGGTCGCGCCGCACCTTGAGCCGCAGGTAGGGGTTGAGCTGCTGGCCCTGCACCAGGCTGTAGAGCACGGTGATGCGGCGCTCGCTGTACATGCGGATCCGGTTGTCGTAGTAGAGGCCCAGGTTCTTGGTGACGGCGTTGAGGATGAAGGGGCAGGTCATGAAGGAGAACTTGTTCTCCGTCTCCACCTTGAAGAAGGTGTAGTCCTTGTCCATCTCCAGCACGTCGTTGAGCGGCTCGTTGACGAACTCCTCGAAGGGGATGAGCGGCCGCCGGCAGTCCAGGGTCTTCACGCCGAGCTCGGTCTCCAGCGGGTCCACGCGCGGGCCCTTCTTGTTCCGGCGCTCCTCGCCCAGCAGCTCCTGCAGGGTCAGCTCGCTGGACTCGGGCAGCGGCTCGTCGTCCTCGTCCTCGTTGTGGCCGGTGTCCACGTCCCCGCCCACCACGTTGGCGTAGTACACCATCTTCAGGCACTTGGAGGCGGCCACGATGGCGTCGTCGTCGTTGACGAGGTTCCGGTCGCTGCCCAGGTTGCGGTTGTTGAACTCGTTGCTGATGACCTTGTAGGTGATGAGCTGCTGGAAGGTCTCCATCATCCTCCGGATCTGGTCGGCGCTGTACCTGGACCACAGCCGGACCAGCTTCGCCTGGGCCGCCAGGGGCAGCTTGCTCATGGCTTTGCAGAAGAGCGGCAGCGCCATCTCCAGGTACTCGGGGCTGTGCAGGTTCCTGTTCTCCATGACGATGACGAACAGGTTCAGGTAGTTGGCGTCTCGGGAGTACACGTTGTGGTACGTCAGGTCGCACTCCACGTTGGGCGACAGGTACACCAGCGCGTTGAGGAAGGCGGTCTCCACCTTCTCGTTGGAGAGCAGCCTGCCGTAGACCCTCCGGATGGCCTCGATGTCCACGGACACATCCTCGGGGCCCGGCTTGGGGGCGCCGTCGCCCTGGGTGCTGCCGCCCGTTCTGGAGGCGGCGGCTCCGGAGTCCTCCTCCATGGCGGAGGCGGAGGCTGTGGCGGTGGCTGTGGCGGCGGCGGTGGCGGCGGCGGCGGCGGTGGCGGCGGTGGCGGTGGCGGCGATGGTGGCGGCCGAGCCCGTGGCCTTCTCCTTCTCGTCTTCATCTTTGTCTTCGTCCTTGGCTTGCAGAGACTTGAGCTCCTCCTTGGTGTGCTGCTTGACTTTCCGGAAGCTCTGCACCAGGGCCTCGGCGCTGGAAAACACTCGCCCAATCACCCGGATCAGAGGGGAGTAATCCTCTCTCTCTCTACATAACTCAAGAATTTCATAGACGATTTCTTCGGTGAGGAAAGCCACATCTAGGAACCAGGGGGGGAGAGAGAAGAGTTATGTTCTGTGTTCAGTGTTTTAACGAGTCCTAGTGAAACGTGAAATCACAAATACCGTGCATGCAATGAGCACCATGTGTAACTGACAATTCTGTTTAAAAAGTTTGACAACAGCCCTCACCGGTGTGGCTCAATGGACAGAGCATTGGCCTGCGGACTGAAAGGTCCCGGGTTCGATTCCGGTCGAGGGCATGGACCTTGGTTGCGGGCACATCCCCAGTGGGGGGCGTGCAGGAGGCAGCTGATCCATGATTCTCTCTCATCGATGTTTCTAACTCTCTATCCCTCTCTCTTCTTCTCCGTAAAAAAAAAAAAAAAAAAAAAAAAAAAATCAATAAAATATGTTTTTTAAGTTTGACAAAATATTGTGCTGGCCTGTTTTTAATTAACTGCTGACACCCACACCTCACCATCTCTCCCATCCTTCGGTGACACCGCAGCTCCCCAGTCACTGCACATGGAGCGAGGCCCTGGCCCCGGCCCCGCACTGCCACCTCCCTCCCTCCTGTCCTCAGGGCCCGGAAGGCGCGTCAGGAAAGGCCCTTCAGCAGCCCCTTAGGCGCCCCCCGTTCAGGTTGCCCCAGGCGGCGTTCTGTGGGCGATGGACAAACCAATGCGCCTTCGCCCAACTCTAAGGCGCCAACACGGCCGTCTGGGGCCAGCGACCAGGCCCGAATAGAGGCCTGTGCTCTAGCCGAACAAACGCTCCCTCTCACACTCACCTGCCCAGCCGTGTGGCCAATGGTTGAGAGCCAACCTATGAACCAGGAGGCCACGGTTCCTGTTCCGGGTCAGGCTCGACCCCGGGGGAGGGGAGGGGAGAGGGAGGGGAAAAGAGGCAGCCTATCGATGTTTCTCTCTCCTCTTCCTCTCCCTTTCTCTCTGAAATAAAAAAAATGCCGTGTTTCCCGAAAATAAGACCTAGTGCATGGAAACATAAGACATCCCCTGAAAATAAGACCTAGCTCGACTTTGGGAGAAAAAAAGTTAACATAAGACCCTGTCTTATTTTCGGGGAAACAGGGTATATACTTAAAAGACCCCCACAGGCAGGCGATGATTCTTGGCAGCAGCGTGCCGAATGCCTGGGGGGGTGAGCAGAGTAAGGGAAGAAGGTGCTAGAAGGGAGACAGAGTGACTTCTGGGGGAACTATTACATGAGCCCTGGCTTAGAAATACACACACCCACAACCACCACCACCACCCCGCCCCCCTCCTCCTCCTCCACCGCCACACGTGCGCCGGCTAGCAGGCCAGGTTTCGGAGATGAGCTAACACCTTCCCCCCAGCGGAAAATGTTTTAAAGGTTCCCACCAGCCAAAGCCGGTGTGGCTCAGCGGATAGAGCGTCGGCCTGAGGACTGAAGGGTCCCGGGTTCGATTCCGGTCAAGGGCATGGACCCTGGTTGCGGGCACATCCCCAGTGGGGGGTGTGCAAGAGGCAGCTGATCCATGGTTCTCTCTCATCGATGTTTCTAACTCTATCCCTCTCCCTTCCTCTCTGTAAAAAAAAATATATATATATTTAAAAAAAGGGGGGGGGGGAAACTTATCAAAAAAAAGTTCCCACCCCTCCGTCAGCAGACGCTGCTGCTCCTAAGAAACCATGATCGCAGCAGCCAGCTGAGCCCCCGGCGCCATCACCACCGTAGAGAAGGACCCCGTCCTCGGTCACACACACACAGCCCCACGCGGGCTCCGAACAAAGCCCCCCTCACCTTTAAAGTCGCTCCTGGACGCCGGGCCGTCCTTCCTGTTCATCTTCCCGTCCGCGCCAGCGCCGGCGCCGGCGCCGGCCCCCTTCGAGCTGTCCAGGTAGGCGGAGCTGGCCCCTTTCTTGGACGGATGAGGGTCACAGAGTTTGGCATTGACCTTGTAGAGCTCGAGGGCCTTGATGGCGGCCGCATTGTTGTCCATGCGCAGGAAGGACGGGCAGGAAGCGCAGCACTCATTCGCGCAGGCCTCGTTCCCGCAGCCCTCAGTGAGCTGGTGGTAGTAGCGCTCTATCAGATGCTTGGCGGCTGCTCGCTTCCTGTCCAACATCCAAACAGTAAGCACAGTGGTTAGTGAGCTCCCCCCACGACAGCGCCACAGACACGGGCAGTCAGTCAGGCGCTGGAGTCAGGACCTGCGGTGAGAGGCGCGGTGAAAATGGAGACCCACTGACACGAGGCTTTCCTAACAGTGAGACATCTGATGACGGATCCCGAGACTATGGCAATGCCCATCGAATCGTTTGGCTTACGGGGGGAGCTTTTGGTTGGTAAATAGAGTTAAACTTTTATAACTGGTGAAAAACCACAAGGTTTATGGTAAGAATTTCAGTATTTTCATTTTCTCACTTTGAAAATTAACAGTAATCAATGAGAGTCTAGCCCTAACCGGTCTGGCTCAGTGAATGGAGTGTCGGCCTGCAGACTGAAGGGTCCCGGGTTCTAGTCCGGTCAAGGGCATGGGCCTTGGTTGCGGGCACATCCCCAGTAAGGAGTGTACGGGAGGCAGCGGATGGATGTTTCTAACTATCCCTCTCCCTTCCTCTCTGTAATTAAAAAAAAAAAAAAAAAAAAAAATCAACAAAATATATATTTCTTTAAAAATAAAGAAATGAGAGTCTAAAGTATCAATCCAACTTTCCTGGGTTTCACCCATTTGTACAATACCTGCTTGATAGTCAACAACTTCTATCTAGAAGAAAACATTTGTCCCCTTATCTTCCCTGTGGGGGGTTTAAAATGAATTTATAAGTGAAATAGCCAATAAATACTACAGCACAAACAGCCAACACTGTGTCTCGAACCTAGAACACGCTGTCACACTGGCTCAGGGATCTCATGCCACGGGAACAGGCAGCACGGTCCGCCTGCTAGGGCAGAGCTGCCTGGGCCTTCCCTGTGCGTGGAGACGACGGCCCCCCGTGACTGTCCGGCAGAGGCCCCGCGCCATGGCTGGCTCGGCCGACACCCAGCACCCTAACTGAAGCAGAGGCGGCTGCTGGGTCACCAGGAGCTACTCATGGCTCATCCTTCTGGTCCCAAGTTCACATACACGGCAACAAAAACCACCGAGAAAAATCAACACCCTACACAAAGTCCACCTGACTTAATACTCAAACTGCCCCGACCGCTGTCTCACTGTGACGCAGGGCTCCGTGGCCAACGGCATTCGAGCTTGCGTCTTGCTCACTGGGAGATGCATCTCGTTAATCGTGACAGACTGACCCTCACAGGAAGGCAGAGAAGCGGCAGGTAAGGGAGGGACACGTGATTAAGTCCAATTTTCCCACAAAAGTAGGCCTTTGTCTGAAACTATCAAGGTGGCAAACACACCCTCTTCATTCTGGCACTTCTAGTCTCCAATGTCCCGTACAGGGTCACCCCTCACCATGCAAACAGGGAAGACACACACACACACACACACACACACACACACACACACGTAACACCTCCAGGCACGTGACCTAAGGGGTTGTCATTGCACAGCTATACACGAGCCCATTTTTAAACACATCCTCCCATGCAGACCGTGCAGGCCGCCCGTGTCACGGAGAAGGAGGCTCTGCGCGTCATGCCTCGGTGGGGGCGGGCCGCCACCACCCTCTCCGGGGGCAGGGCCTTCTCTGCGAGAAGGCAAGCAGGCGGGCACCCCTTCCTGGAGGAAAACTACCCTTCAAAGCAACCAGAGTGTGAACCCTGAGAGGAGAGAGCCCACTGGAGGGAAATAATTGGACAATGTTGGGGTATGAAATCTGAAAAACATCAACACTCCTGCCAACAGCTGGTTACTTAAATGCTTACCACTCACACGGGGAGAAAATAAAAACCACAACGGGATACAGAAGCTTGGCGAGGAGCTGTTCCTCTCCCACCGTGAACGAGAAGGCCCCTTAGCCTCCCTGGGGGCGAGCCGGGTAGCGTGCAGACACAGTGCGCAGGGTAGGAGCCAGCTGCCGCCTCCTCACTGCTGTCACCACCCTCCGGTCTGCAGAGGGGCAGAGACCTGAGCCCAGCCTGACTCCACCCCTGGCCTGGTAACCCCTGGGGGAGGTCTAACCCGGGGGGGGGGGGGAGATGCCCACGGACGTGGCTCTGCAGAATGGGAGCCCGCCAGGCCGCCTGGTCACCGAGGGGTCAGGCCTAAGGGGCCTCTCCCGTTCTCCTCACTCGGTGACGCCCCAGGTCACCTGTGCGCGATTCTGCAGGCCCTCAGGGTGGCACATACAGAGGCCTGCAGGGGGAGTGAACGGGCACACTAACAAGGGAAGTCCAAGGTGGACTCCTCTACAGCAGCACCGTCAAACCACACCTGTCCTCAGCGCCTGCAAGCTAAGCATGGTTTTTACAGCTTTAAATGGTGGGAACGGTCAGGAAAAGGAACACTTTGTGACCCGGGAAATGACATAAAATTCCCGTTTCGGGGTCCAAGCTCACGCGTGTGCCGCCTGTCCACAGCCGTGTGGCAGAGGCAGTGTAGGGCTGCAGGGCCCAAAATAACCCCCACCTGGCGCTTCGCGGAAACACGCCTCCGTCTTTATTTAGCGCCTGCTCTCTGCCCTCCGGCGACACGTCCACCCGATCACAGGCTCCGCACACTCTGCCCCCCAGCCATCAGGGCAGCGACACGGATGCCTTTGCCCGCACATCATCAGAGACACAGACAAAAAGGACAGGGAGGAGGGGGAGAGAGAGATCCGCGCCTCAGTCCTTAACGGAGATAAAAGACACAGCGGGAGCTCTAAGTGACCGTAACACGCGCACAGCTCGCTTCCCCACGAGGCGCCACACCAGGGCGTGCGTGTGCTCAACGCCCCTCCCACCCCGTCGCGCCGACCACTGGGCTCGAACCCAGAAGCGGCTGCCACGCGCAGAGGCGGCGGCAGTCAGAAAAGCTCTTAAATCGGCTGTAATGGGCGTCGGGAAATGGGCGATGAGCACAGGAGCGAAGACGAGCCGTAAAAGCAGCAGCTGTCAGAGCGCGGAGATGTGTCAGTGCGTAATGAGCAAACAAGATGCAAATCAGAATTAAAGATGACAGGGAAGGAACAGTGACTGACATGCAACATGGAACTAATGGTGGGCACAGCAGGGAGCAGCAGCTGAAATGGCGGAGTTCAGGCAGAGTGTGTGAGTGGTTGTGGGGCCGAGGGGCAGTGGACAGCCGTCAGCCTGCGAAGGGACCGCAGCACCGCCCGCCGGGCCCAAGCAGGGACGTTGCCTTTGCAAACACCCCCCACCGTGTTAACGAGTGTGGAGGTGACAACACACCCCACATCGCTCAGGCCTCAGAGGGCGCCCTGCGGACCCCGCACCCCGTGAGGGCCGGGCCGGCCCGTCCCGCCCCGCGGAGAGAGGGGGAGCTCCTGGGACCCTGCTCCGGCCAACAAGGCTGAAGCTGTGATGGAAGGTGCAGTCTCCACTTAAGCTTTCTAACTATAAATCAGAAACCTGACTGTTTGAAATAGGTTTAACAGGACAATAACCCCTAATTAACGACTTACTGAGCTTTATAACCCAGAGTGCTTGTTATACAGCAAATACAAAATAAAATCATACAACTAAATACGTATATAAACTCATTCACCTTCAAAAGCATGTTAAGGTGTCACATTTTACATTCAAATTATAATTAAGACGTGTGCGTATGCCTCTCTCTCCATCGCCTCCCTCACAGAACACGCCGTGAACCCACACACACACACAGCAGGGAACTGCCACGTCTGAAAGGGGGCTGCAGGGGCGGAAGTAGCCATCTGCACACGGTCAGTGATCGCTCCCTCCGTGCAGCCTCTCACAAGGCTTCTGTGGGGACGCAGTGAGCCACACGGACTACGGAGAACGGACCCTCCCCCTGAGCGGGTCAGCGAAGGGCTCGGGGGCCGGCGAGGGAGCCTGTGGCACCGCAGGGAAGGAGGGCACAGGACATCAGGACACGAGGACAGCGGATGCAGAGGCGACGAGCCCAGGAGCAGCGACAGCAGAGAGAGAGAGAGAGAGAGAGAGAGAGAGAGAGAGAGAGCGAGCGCGCGTCCCGCAGGCCTCAGAGGGGCCGTGATGGGGAGAAGTCTCGGAAAGGTTCAAAGCATTGGGAACGTGATTTCATACGACCAAGTACTTGGCACAAGTGCACAGCGGTCCGCACTCACAGAGCGGAGACGTGTAAAAAGGGGGGGAGTTAAGGGACCTGCTGACGACCGGAGTGAGACAGAAAGCCAGGGGCCCTGCCCCGGCACAGAGGGAACACGCAGGCAGGCTCCCGTCTGCGTTGCCTTTGTGCTTAGAGAGCCGCAGGAGAGAAGGCAGGCAGGCTTTCTCCGAGCGGGAAGTGCACTGACAGCCGCATGCGCGTCGGCACGGCAAGGTTCCAGCGGGAAAGGGGTCCTGACCGTAGGGGCCCAGAGCAGGCGGAAGCGTGCAGCCTCCTCTCCCCGAGCAGCAGCCTGCGTCAGGGCGGGACTGGCCTCGACGCCCCCTCGCCTACAGGCACGTGTAACGTCGCCCCCATCTCTACGCCTGCTTCTCCTTTCAGAAGACGAGGGGGTCTTCCTTCTGATTCAAGAGCAATCCCTACGCCTACCATCTTCTCTCCAGCCCTTACACCTCAAAACACTGGCTTTAGTAATCTCGGCCTCTCCTGCATCTTCGGCTTCTTAAACTCCCCCCTCTCCCCCCTCTCGGTGTGTGTCTCACACCCCGACAGCCTCACCTTTAAAAGCTCCCCTTGCTCCACGGCCCTCCACAGAGCACCCTGCACCGAACGCCGAGGTCACCCACCACACGCTTCTCTCCAGTCCTGTCTCCTGCCGCCTGGCGAGGTCGCTGCCCTTACTTACCAAATTCCTCCTCACTCCCAGACGGCCGGACAGGCCACGCACGGCCCTATGCTTTCTCGAGTCTCACCTCCCGCACTTCCCGCCTTCGGTGGGCTCCTCCGCTGCCGCCCTCATGCTCAGGGTCCCGCCGCTCGCTGCCCGTGCGCCTGCCCAGCACGGCCGTCCTCGCTCCAGCCACTGCCCCCGTCTGCTCCCCGCTCTGCCTGCCGCTCCGGCCACCCGGCGTCCCTGCCGAGCGCCCGGGCTCCTCCCGCCGTCTCCCCCGAGGCGGCGGGAACCAGGCCGCGCGTCTGTGCCTGGCACACGGCGGGCTGGGCCGACACCGTCACACTGCGCTCGCTCCACACGCTCTCCCTCCCCACGGCCGCGGGGAGCAGAGACCTAGGCGTCCCGGAGCGTGCGGCTGCCCGCTGAGAAGCAGAAATCTAGCGACACACACCACGGTTCAGAGCGTTTATTCGTAGGAAAGACGGGTTACTGCGAGCGTGGCGCTCTGAGCGGGAAGTCCGTGCGGAGGGGAGGCCCCTGAAGTGACCCAGAGCGGAGGCGGGGCCCCGCCGCCCACTTACATTCGGCTGGCTTCAGTGTCGTCAGACTGCGCTTCTCCTGGCGATCTGTGGACGCAAGTGGGGAAAGCTCAGCAAACGCTCCACGCTCCGGAAGGGGCAGGTGTTATTTGGGGAGACAAGTTTGAAAACAACACTTAATCGTTAACAGTTTTAAAAGGAATTCGACATGAGAAAAAAAGCGGTCAGGTCAGACTGCCATACAACACATTTATTTAGGCCTGACTGCTAAACACTCAGTGCATTTTTTTTATTAAGGAAAGGGAACTGTAAAAACACTACATTTATACCAACATATATAGACCAGCAGAGAGTCCTAGTGATTTACAAAGTCAAATACCTTTGGTGAAAACATACAAAACATGAACTTTCTACCGCCACGTGGGTCCTCCACAACCTCAAAGGCATTCACTGGTATGCACAGTCCCCTGCGGGTCCCTGGCCAACGGCTGTCCGAGGCAGGGCGGGGCCTGCTGCCCAGCGGTGCTGGCGCCTGGGGCCGCGGCTTGCTGCGGGCTCTGCGGCGATAACCAGGGAGCAACATCCACTAGGAACAGCTGCCGCCACGTGCTATGGAGCCAGGAAAAGCCTAGACACTAAGCCTGGGGCTGGCCCTCCCTCCCTGTCTGCCTACGCTGTTAATTTCACCCCTGCCGCCCCTCACTGTCGCAAACAGCATCGGTCAGTGGACACTAAGGTGGACCAACAGAACACTGGTTTCTAACACTTTCAAATTCTCAAAATAAATAAAACATATTTTAGAATTCAAAAACTAAATGTTCACAATGACATTACAAGAACTTGATTCCTGAATTTATCACTGACTCGAGACTTCAAATTTTGAACAACTTCAACAAAGGAATCTTAAAATCAAAGCCACCAACAAAAGAATAAGTGTTATACGTTATTTCTTATCTTTAAAAAACTCATTTCTTTATCAGACTCTCAGAATTAACCCTCTCTACAGGTCAGAGTCCGGGGGGGAATTTGGTGGAAAAGGGACTCCTGCGGCTCAAGCATTAGTTTTAGATTTTCTCTGCAGAATATTTTACATTTTCAATGTCGTACAGAATCATATCAGAACTAAAAATGGGGACGTGCTGGAGGTGGCGGTGACTTGGCAGTGACACGAATGCAAAAATCTCACTCCCCCCTCTCCCCCGGGGAGCGAGCAAACCACCTCGGTGACACACCTGGTCTCCACCAGCCTTGTGGGCAAGTACCCCAAGTTTGCTGCCAAACTGGTATCTCTCAGACAGAAGACTAAAAACTGACGGTAACCCCTGTGCCAGCTGACTCATTTCTGACAGTGCGGCACTCCAGCATCAGGTGTCATACTGTAAGGAGGCAGAGAGGCTTGCAAAACAAAAAACAAACCTGCTGGCACTAAGGGAAGAGAGGCAGATTAGAAGCTTTCAAACATGGAGGTGGCAAAACTTTCAAATTAACAGGGAAGAGGCGGCGGATGAGGACAGTGACAGGAAAATTAAAATACGACAGCAAAAGGGAAAGACACAGCGAGAAGGCAAGCCCGAGTCCTGGAAGCACAGTGTGACTGCCGCCCGGTGGAGAGTCTGCAAGGGACAGAGGTTAGAGACATCGTCACAGGGAACCACACCCCCCCCCCCCCCCCCCCGCGTGCTAACCCTCCAACAAGACCGTGCACATTAGAGCATCGAACGTCCCCCACTGCTGCAGATACACTGCATTGTCATGTAATGTTAACAGGGTGAAGGAAGCTGCTCAGAACTATTGTAGTCGAACCAAGTGATTTAAACCAATTCCGTCTAAAAGAAAAGTAAAATATTAAAAAAGACTGAAATACTATTACCCTAAAGCAGATCTATTCTAGGTCTCTCATACATGGCTAGCACAAGCTGTTTTCACTCAACACGGGAATTGTTCTTTAGTCAAGAGAAAAGTGAATATACACACAACTGGCAAAAATACGTTCTAGCAGAGGATAAGCAGAACATATCTGATGACATTTCTAGTCATTCTTTTTATAGCATATTTCTACCATATTCTTTTCACAAAAATGTTAAAAATTCTTTTAAGAAAAAATACCATATAATTTAACAAAAAAAATGTCCCCAGGTAAGGATTCCAAACTCTCAAAACTATGAAGTGTCTAACATCTCTAGACTTTATTATTCACTGCCAGGTTTTTGAAAGTCGGGATCCAACACATGCTTGAGATTTCAGCACACTCAGGAGAGATAATCAAAGGAAAAACAAAAACTACGGACTCTGTTTAACCTGCAGTTTGTTAGAATAACATCAGAAACAAAACTTTAAAACTGAAACAGTAAGCACAAAACATTTATAAATAATAATAATAATAAAATAAAGCTTGGGCGAGTGTCACTTTTAGGTCTTGACTTGGATGGCAGAAAAAGTGGTCCCCCAACCACTATTCTGAAAACAGAAAATCCCCACGGGGGCTCACTTGCAACCCTACTGTGTGCAGCTTCTCCAGCCTGCAAGACACGCTGCTGCCTCCACTGGCCCTCTCCAGGAGAGAAAACTATACTCGTCTCATTCCAGTTGTTAAAACTTCCAGAAATGTTCAGTTAAAACTCTCATAAAAGGCACACTTTAAAATGCATATTGATAACTTTTTCGTAGTTTTTATAATGTCCAAAATGAAACGTTTCTTAACATTTTTGAGAAGCATTTTCCTGTTCATTCATACAGACGAGTCTGGGGGAGGAAAAAGCAAGAAATATTCTAGACGGGTTTAAGTGGAGAAGCAGATCAAGTTTGTGGTCCCCTCCTCTTAGCAGCCTGTCCCTGCCAGCTATGCGTTCCCTCCATTTATTTACAGCCCGCATCTCACTCCACGACGACAGCCTTCCGGGGGCTGTGACGTGACGTGCAAGGTTACCTTTTACAGGCTGTGGCCATTCGTTGACATCAGGGATCACAGCTTTGAGTCACTGATTGAAAACAGGCTGTCACACCGGTTTAGCTGCTGACTTGGTCTGAGCGAAGATTTAATGACTCTAATAAATTAAACAAATCTTTAGTTAGAACATTTAACACAAACACACCCGGTTCACGTTCAAACGTCATCTTCAAAGCTTCCAGTTAGGTGTCAATGCAACATCCATCAGAGGAGTGACTACAGACACCGTTTAAGGACTAGTTTCCAGAATTTACTTTTCTTAAGAGACCTCTTCAGGCGAGCAGCGTGGCCACCCTCCCTCGCCCTTCTACGGAGCCTCACAGCGCAAAGCACGGGCTCGTGACAACTCACTTTGCTCTCACCTGATCGGGGCAAACAAGACGGTGAGGATTTAAAATAAATAAGCAGCCTCGGAGCTGTTAACGGACTTGCCCGAGACTCCAGGTTGGTGGTGAAGCTGGACTAAAGCCAGGCCTGCTGGCGTCCCACCAGGTTAGAACGGTCTGGCTTGTCTCCCTTTCCTACTCCAAGTCTCATCCCTCAAACGGGGGTAAATGAGTCAAGATTTACAGTAAGGACTGGGACCCACGGCTCTGTTCTCCAGGCAGCCGGAGCTCAGGGGAACCGTTCCGTGTGCACATACAACCGTCCCCCGTTAGCGTGACCGAGCGTGCCTGTGCCAGCTCTGTCCCTGCTGTGAACCCCTGCTGCTCAGTGTCAGCAACGAACGGCAAGCGCGTCAGCCAGTCTCCGGGGCCCTCCTTGGCCCGGCGCGGCGCCTCGGACGGCGCTCCTGCTGCGGTCGCAGTCCGTCGGCTGCGGTCCAGGACCGAGGGCTCACTTGGTGCAACCAGTTCTTTCTTCCCTTGACAACGTCCCTACATCTGAGAAGCCAACTCGGGAAAGGGGCCGTCAGGAGGGAGACAACAGGGTCCTGGCAGCTCCTCCTTCAGTGACGGCCGGAGGCGGTTCCCTGGAGGGTTCAGGCCGCTCTGAAGGAGTGGGGTGCAGAAGCCCTGGACACTATGCCCTTTCCCAGGCTGTCCTGTCTCAGCTACCTGTCTCCCACTGCGAGCCTGGGCGGTCCCCCTGCAATGCCCAATGTTCCCTCGGGCTCTCATGGACAGATAGTCCATTTGGATTTAGAAGGTCCAGCAATTCTAACTTTCCCATCTGCCAAGGTAAAGATGAGAAAGCCACCCACCCTTTAATTAATTAATTAATTAATGGGGTGCATGGGTTCACTCAAGAGCCGCGTGGGGCCAAAACCGGGCGCTCAGTGGGCAGAGCGTCGGCCTGTGGAGCCAAGGGTCCCGGGTTTGATTCCGGTCGAGGGCATGGACCTTGGTTGCGGGCACAGCCCCGGTGGGGGAGGGGTGTGTGTGTGTGTGTGTGCAGGAGGCAGCTGGTCGATGTTTCTCTATCTTCGATGTTTTGAACTCTATATCCCGCTCCCTCTCTGTAAAAAAAATCAATAAAATATATTTGAAAAAGAAGTGGGGGGAAAGCGCGCGTGGAGCTGGGAGAGGGTGCAGCCGAGTGAGTCCTCCCGTCCAGCATCCAGCGCCTCCTCCCGAGGGCCAGCCCGCACGCCCCTCCCTCTCTCACCTGCGGGCTGGGACTGGGACGTCTTGGGCAAGTGCCTTAATCTCCTGAGCCTGTTTCCTCCTCGGAGACAGCTCGTGCCCGTGTCAGAGACTCAGGGGGCGAACGAACGACATACGGACGCTCAGAAGAGTGCCCGCACACATCAGCGCTAGCAAATGGAAGCTATTTTTAACTCACAGCCTAACAGCCAAGGCCGTCTGCTCCGTCTTCCTGGGCACATGCTTACTCCTCACGGCACACCAGCCGCTCCTGGGCTCGTGAGGTCTACCTGGTAGCACTGCGGCTAGCGCCCGGCTCGGCTCTAACCCCGACGGCACCCCGACGGCACCCCGACCTGCTGCACACACGTGTCATTACTCCAACCAGACATCCACATGCAATTTGGAATTCAAAAAAATAAAATAAAATAGAAACATACCATATTTCGCCAAACTTCTGAGGAGTTGGTGGATTCTAAAATCAGGATCTTACAGCGTTTTAACCTAAAATAGAAAACACCTCACTAAGTTTTTGTTGTTGTTTTTTTTTACATAGACAACGGGATAAACTTTCAAAGAACATTTTCTCCCATACACTACAAAAGCAAGCTCATCCTCTGTAGTTTATGAGCGTCCACACACACACACACACACACACACACCCCAAGCACAGGGCCGGCTGCAGCAGGGGGCAGGAGGGCGGTGAGGCGCTGTCTCTCAGCGGGCAGACCCAGGGCTCCTGTTTGCACCCAGAGCTCAGTGCTCTCTCCTCCCTCCTCCCCCAGGGCTGACGAGGAGGTGAGAGCAGTCAGTCCAGCCGGTGAGAGATCCACCCAGTCCCTCCCACCAGAGGGAAGACAATAGGCCAGCCCTAGGGGCATTCAGTAAGTACTAAGGGCCGCCCCACCGAGGTTAGTGACCTCCTCCAGACACACCCTGAGACAGCCTTGCAAGGATCAAGCAACCACAATCCTGGGCTGGCATCTAAAACAGACACTAACAAACCAAAGCCCAGTCGATAGACAGCAGACTATTACCATGTACAACAGCTAATAAGAAATTAGTGAAAATGCAAATAAGAAATTTTGGCCCATAACTATCAGAGAAAAAAAAATCAGGAGACAAGAACTTTCAAATTATCAAATAAACACGCACCAGGATTCAAAGGAACATCACATGAAGAAAGAAGGAGAAAACCTTAAAACAAACCAAATGGAAAAACCAACCCAAAGAAATAAACTCATACCTGAAGTACTGACACCACAGGAGAAAGAAGTGAAGGAGAAGACAAGCAGAATGCAGCACAGAGAGAACGAGATCAGACACAACCTGGCGATGGCCGAGGACAGCACCAAGTGGTCCAACTCGCGAGAGACAGCACGGGAGGGAGAGGGGATAGTCAGACGTGTGTGTGTGTGTGTGTGTGTGTGTGTGTGTGTGTGTGAAGAAATAATGATTGACACTTCTCCAAATCAGATGAAAGCAAACTCACACATTTAAAAAAGGGGGGGGGGGGGGGAAAGAACTCAACAAATCCTGATCAGGGTGATCACAAAGCCAATGATAAAAAGAAAAGAGAAAAGGGGGGGGGAGGGGGGGGCTGAGGAGGAGGGGGAGTCTGTAAGGCGGGGTCCGGCTGCGAAGGTGAGTGCATCTGTCAGACTCGGGACGCCGTCTGTGTGGCAGCTGCGCCCAGAAGGCCACACGCTCGGACCGTCCACCTGACCGGAGGCCAGCCTGGCAGCCAGGGACTGTCACACCCTCCCACGGCTCCGTTCCAGAACCTCCCGCGGCTCCCCTGTGCCTCCCCGGTAAAACTCAAACTCCTCGTTATGGGCAAATGATCCGGGCCCTGCCTCCTCCGACTCCGCTTCCCACCATTCCTTCCTTCCTGAGGCCACACCGGCCCCTCGCTGTCCCCAAGCCGGACGCTCCGGGAGACGCTCCCGGTCCACGGCCCTTCACTCTCTCCACCTGCGAGGCTCCTCCTCCTCCAGTCCTTCATTCCAATTTCCGCCTCGGCAAGCTTTCCTCTGGCCACACACACCCTCCACCCTAAACCCTCTACACCCCATTAAAACACCACGCGTACACAATACCTCGTTCCCCGCCAAGTGCAGGCCCATGAAAACAGGAGCCGGGGCTCTGTGCTCTCGCATCCAGAGAGCCACTTAGGACACAGCAGGTGCGCAGCCTGCATCTGCCACAGCGACGAGGTGGACGCACACGCAGCCACCCACTCCGAGCAGAGACTCTGCAACCCGATACGAGTTCAGGACAGAGCGCTACACACAAGCACTGAACAATCTGAAAACGGAATTCAGTCAACAGTTCCATCAGCAATAACTTTAAAAATAAAATACTCAGAAATATATTTACATTCATATTGAACAAAAGTGTTGAGAAATATACACTAAAAAACAATCTTTTTAAATAAATGGGGGGAAAAAAATCCCAGGTTCATGGATCAAGACATAAAATTAAGGTAGCCATAAATCCACCAATTCAACATGACACCCAATCAAAATCCCAGCTGCCCTTTTTGCAGAAAAACAAGCTAACCTTAAAATTCGCAAATTCCAAAAACCCTAGAGAGCTACAATAGTCTTGAAAAAATAAGAACAAAGTTAAAAGTTTTCACCTTTACCAATTTGAAAACTTACTGCAAACACATAGCATTCGAGAGCGATATGTCGGAGGCTGAAGAACAGACACAGAAATCAATGGAAAAGGAAGAGTCCACACTGACGGCCCAATCTTTCCCACAAGGAGCCACACCCACCCCGCGGGCTGGAAGAAGTGGGTTCCCCTAAGAGGAGGGAGCGGGCCCCCCGTCTCACATCACAGCACAAGATTTACAGCTCGTGCACCTGAAAGCACACAATTCATGCCAGTGCAAAGGCAACCTACAGAACAGGCGGGGATATTTGGAAACCATATTATTTGACAAGGCACTTATGTCTATAACGTACTGGTAAACAACACTTAAAACTCAAGATTTAAAAAACAAAAACAAAAAAACACACCCCAGTTTAACAACAGCAAAGGATTTTAAATAGCTTTTCTGCAAAGATGGCAAATCAGCACATGAAATGACAGGTACACTTTCACAGGGGTCAAAGGGCACCGAGAAGGCGGCGAAGGGAAGACCAATGGTGATGTTAGGAGACTTGACCTAAGAGGGTAAATACACGATACAATATTCAGAAGAATATTGTATCTGAAACCTCTATCGCTTTATTAATCAACAAACTCAATAAGAAATATATTTTAAAAATAAAAGGGACAGATAAGTTTTGGCAGGGAAACAGAGACGTCAGAAAGAATCCTCATACATTGCGGATACAACTATAAACCACTTTGGAATGATAACAACAGAAATTAATAACCAAAACCTGGAAATAATCCAAACA